TCCACCCACTCGCCGCCCCACCCGATCCTCCCACCCAGTCTATCCGTCGAGTCAGTTGTTTGATTTTACAGTTGTAGTCCAATTACGATTTTGAGCGCATACCAACCGCACAGATTTCTGCCTTCAGCTATGTGTGTACTACGCAGTTGAGGTCAAAATGATAGTACAAATATTGAAAAGGCATAAAAATGTTTTAGGAACTAAAATTGAATGGAAAGTCAATGCTGACATATTTCAGTCGAACCAATTATAAAGCACATATTACCAATGAAAAACTGGCTTTAAAGCTAAAAGTAATTTTAACCTGGAATGTCGTAGCAACTTTGTGCAATATTATTCTATTATTATGAGCACATGTGTGCCGTGCTTGTAACTGGCTGTCAGTGCTGCAACATCGTCCTTTTCGTCCTTGTTTCTCGTCCTCAGTCGGTCATGCTCCTTCCGAACGGCTTGCACGCGGTTTTCGGCCAGCTCACCACCTGGATTCTAGTTGGGTTCGTCCTGGCCTGCTAGTCCTGCTAGTCCTGCTAGTCCTGCTAAATTACATTTTAGCAAGTTAATTGAAATGGAAATTAGTTGAAATTGTAAAACGAATTGAATTGTATGTGATTAGCTGCAGCATTTTCGAATTGGTTAAACAGCAGCAGCAGCAGCAACAGGAGCAAGCCTTGTTTTCCACCTGAAGAGCTTTTTGGCCAAAACTGTCCTTAATATTTGCAAGCACAACTGTACCAGCAATGCAAAAATACTGCCCTCCCTTCTGATTAAAATAGTTAGGTTAATATTTAGGTTGCGAAACTATTAAACTGCAGCTTAAAATTAGCAAATATTAAAACAACTTTATCCCCTTATTAAAAAAGCGTGTGCTTAATCACAAAAGTTACTATCTATTTGCGTTCTTCCCCCTGACTTCAATATACTTACTCTCCTTCTGTTTCACAACGACCGCAGACAAACGTAGCGCACAGCTCGCATATATTTAACCATAAGTAATATTAATACCCATTTTTGTTAACCGAAAAAAAGTGAGGAGTATGCTTTATGTGTGGGTTACTTGGTGGGTGGGTGGACGGGTAGTGGGCCAAGGGGTGGCGGTTGGGTGGTGTGTGGTGTGTGTAAAATTATTATCCTTCACGCTTAATATGCACAAGCGGAAGCCGTCATTTGTACGCCACGGAGAGATGACGATGACCAAAACCCAGGGCCGCTGGCCATTTAGCATACGCAACTGGGTGTGAGTGTATCCTGGTGTCTTTTTTTCTATTTCTTTTGGCCAGGCGTTTTTTATGTCATCGTCCTAGTCATCGTCTACTTATGTACCACATGCTTCGCATTGCACTCGGAAAAATTAATTAAAGCGATATTTATTAGGATTTTGACGAGTTAAACATTGCGATGGGTTCGAGTGGTGACCCAAAACTCGGTATTTGGTCAGTTTTTAGTAATTGCTATGCTACCTCTGTCTAAAACAAAATAAAAAACAGATGAAAGTACTCCTTGAAGGTATAACATTCAAGGATTATGTTTACTGACGATTGTTTTTGAGTGACAAATTAACTTTGGATTAGGGTGACCCAAAACTGGACTGCTAACATCCATAACTTAGGGTGTTGACTACCGATTTTTATGCTTTTGTAATTAAATTATCTAAGAGCATACAATAAACTTTTTAGTTTCAATTTTTTTAGAGTTTTAATGATCGAAAATTATTGAAAGGTAGTTAAAAAATATGCAACCGTTTGTTGACTTTAGATACCATTTTCCAATGCCCTGAGTTGCGCATTTAATTGCGCAACATTTAATGATTTTGGGCAAGTTATGATGCGACACAGATGGATTTTGGTAATTAATTGTTCATGCTGATTTTGCACAGTGCACTCTCCTGCTTGCTACGTGAGTTGTCCGTTGTCCAGCGGAGAGCGTGTCCTTACAAAATTAGTGCTCTTTTACATTCATATGCACACATGCATCTATCCCAAATATATACGAATTTTTTTCACAATACTCGTACATTATTTCGGTTGTACATTTAGCATGGGCTAAAAAATAAAAAAATTATAAGAAAAAACGAAGTGAGAGGGGCCAGCGGAGAAGCGGACAGCAATCGCAGCGCTGATATATAATATTATATATTTTTTTGCAACTGTTTGTGCCACTTTAGCGGAAGTATCGCAGCGACATCAGCACGAATAGACCCCTTCCCTATGTGCCCCATGTGCCCCATGTGCCCCATGTGCCCCACCCGAAAACCCCTTCTTTTTTTTTGCACAGGACACTCTCGAGCTTTATGCGTTTTTTGTGTGTTTAGCAAAGCATAGAAAAGTGAGCGCATAAAAAATTGAAACCATTTTCTCATATTAAATGTGTGCCGACCGAAGAAGAGGCGGTGGGCGGGGGGCGTGACAGCAGCAGTTAATAATGAGCGCAGCGCCCCCCATCGGCCAGCGTTGGCATCTGGTCGCAAGCAGTCAAGAACTTGAGTGCAAGCAGTTCTCGCAAAGCAAACGTAAGGATTTGCTAATGTAAACCATCTTTAAACGCGGTTCTAATACAACATTTATGAATATCTTAGTAAGATGTTCGTTTCTAAGGAATCTCCTTCTAAGAATACATTGAGAAACTATTTATAAGGTTAATGATCAGCCCTGGGACCCACTTTATAAGCTATATATGCCTCTACTGAAAAGCTGATCTGTCCGCTTCATTCTTCTGTTACTCTGGTATGATTTTCTCCCATTTGCTCGCATTTTACACTATCCTTCGGTTGACAGTACGTGTCTCCTTGTCAGATATATATATATCCGCATACATACTATCTGAGACACTGAGACGCGACTGCTGATTATTATTCCGCTGACCGTTTCGTATTTATTTGAAAGGCATTTGCCGGCAGCCACCAACACACATGCAGTCGCACAGGACACACATCTGTGTGTGGTGGGTATGGTATTTTTTTTTTTAATTTTTTTTGTCCTGCAGGCGAGGAACAAAACGACATATTCGTCCTGCATAAATGATGTAATTACAGCGCAAGATTTTTGCTATGAGCAATTTTTATTTTAATTTCTTCCCCCGGCTCCATCTTTCTCTCCATTACCCCACTCATTTATATCCTTTCCTTTCCTTTTTCCATATTTTTTTTGCCCTATATGTGTACCCTCTGATATGCAAGTACGTATGCCATACTGCACTTGGTCACACACAAGTCTGCCAGCTTGTGAAATATTTTGCATGCTTTTATCACAATTTTAATTAAATGCACAAATTACTATAATATTTATATATTCACATTTATAAAGGTTGAGTTCTTTTTGCGAATCCTTTGACTAAAACTTGTTGCCTTTCGATACAATTTCTTAGATTCCCTAGCAGAAAACATCTGCTGCTTGTTGTGCTCTGTGCAGCAGACTTTCAAGATACTTTAAAAATGATAGAATATTTTTAATTAACCCAATTTCATGGTTGACTTGCTACCATTTATTTTTACCAGCCAAAGTCTCGAATAAAATCAACAAACAAGCGCTTATTTTTCCCACCTTTTTTTTTGTTGATAAACCTTTTTTTGCGAAATGGAACGCTGATATTTTATGGCCCCAAAACGAGACCCCAAAAATATTAACCCACCTGCCAAACAGACTCTAATGCATTTCTAACATGGGTTGAATGTGAGATGTGGGAGGGGCAGTGACCAAAAAGGGGGCGGTTGCGATTTGTTGACACAGCCAACGCCGCAAAAACATTGGCGGGCGTGTTAAATGAAATGAAAAGCCAAACGCGCGACCGCGAAAATCAAACAACAATAAAAAATAAAGGGGAAAACCGCAGAAAGGTAGCTACAACAACAGCCGCCAAACTGGACCAGGAAAATTGCGATGGCAGCGGAAAAAAGAACAAGAACAACACACTCGCATATACACAAACAAAAACAAGCGCAGTAATAGTAGTTAAACCCAATTTGTGATTTGTTTTGCCAAATCGCGGGAATGACGGCAAACGAAAACCTGTACAGTGTTGCAAACATCTACAAAAGATTATAGACCACATTTATTGGACACATCTCTGGCATTAAAGCCTATAAGAAGGCAAACAAGTTTTTTCTTTTCGAAACCATTAATGTATAAATTGTATTTCATATGAACTGAGTATTTTTTCCAGTGCGCCAATATAGCAACAGCAACAGGAAAAGCCACAAAGCTAAAAACAGCTAACGGGTAAACGGTAAACCAGCGACCGCCTGAATCCTGAATCCCGAATCCTCAATCCTTTCCCCCCGTTTGTGTGTGTGTGTGAGCTGTGTGTGTGTAGCTGTGTGTGCGCTGTCGCGATGAGAAACGTGCCGATGCATAATCATTGAGGCCATTATCATTTATTTCACTCAAAGGTGTCGTTGCCGTTTCGCTTCCGTTTTGCGCCGTGTGGCACCTGCAAAAATCAAAAACACACGCACCGCCAACAGAACGGAAGTAAAAACAAAAACCCAAAAACTTAGGTCAGTCCTTTTTTTTTTTTGGCCCTAAGCTGCACGGTACGACTTGATAAATTTTGGAAAATGCAATTGTACGGCAAATTTCCACATACACATGGATTTCACAGGTTATAAGCATGAAACTCTTCACAAATGCTGTTAACATAATTATTTGCTAACAAATCTTTAAATTTAAACAACTGCGTAATGCGTTGCAAATTTATGAACCCAAATGCCACGGTTAGCCACTCAAAGAAACCAAAACGCCCATATTCATTTGGCGTGGACTGTGCGCGCGATTTTCGCATATTTGTTTAGGTCAGAAGTATAAAAATCTAACAAACTATAGCGTAATGAAATCAAAATAAAGCAGGACCCATATTTCCATGAATAAGTCAACAAAAAACACACATACCGTGTGGATAAAATAGCATTCTAGAAATGAATGCACCTCTCTCAATACCGGAAGTAAACATAGATATCATAGCGATAAACTTAAGTTGACTGTCACAGTCCTAAGGCTCCAACATTTGATTCGGGTTTAGTTTTCTCTCACCCGGTGAACGATAAGCAGCCAAAAATTAAGAAACACAATTCTTATTTACGTACATATTTTTTTCGAAACAAATACGAATACAAATACCAAATCGAAGAGAGACCAAGGAGGCGCTACTTCCAAGAAAATCCAAAGAGTCCCCAATGAAGTGATGGCGTTGAAGATGAACCAAAACCAGAACCAGGTCAAGATCAACTACGTGCAGCAGTATGTGGGTAGGATGACGGGGCCGCTCGTCGAACCCATTTTCCCAGTGCCGCAAATGTCATCGGCAACCCTACGTGTCCGTCGGGCTGTCGTCGAATCCTATCGCGGACCCCAAATTGCTCCCGATGATGCCATGCTACCCATGCCGCCCCACAACAAGGTCCAAAATTTGGGTGAGATGCTGCAGGAGCTTCGATTCAGGCTGAAAGATTTCAAGCTTTGGCATCAAGTCATTCGTCTGCTGAAGAAACGGCTCTAGTCTGTAATGTGCAACTGATGAATCCTGATTCTACGCCTACTCTCAAAATCCCAATTAAACGAGTTAAAATTGTGTTCGATGTTAGGTTGTACAAGTCATTGTAAAATCGAGCACATGTATTTGTAGTCTGGCGTCATCTCCAAATTTCTAAAATAATTAACAAATGTTGCTCAAAATTATAAAAGGTGTAGATAATGCTTAACCAATTTGAAAAACCTGATACATTTCTATTCTTGACGCTGCCACATAGCTAGCAATTTAAATGTATTAAGAGTGGAGTTGGGACATCTGGCCAGGCCCAAATCACAGAAGGCCAGCACTGCAAACTGGAACAACAACAATGGCAAAAAGCGCAACAACAACAAAATTAGAATCCAACATTAAAATAAGTTTTTAAAACTAAGCACCGTGGCTTATGTCACAGAGAGAGTAGCAGTAGCGCAAAACAAAGCAAAGCAGTAAAAAAAGCCCAGCAGAACCACAGGGCAGACGACATTTAGAATATAAATTTAGTTAAACAAATCTCGGACGAGGCGAGCCTCCCCAAGGTACGAATGCAGCCAGGGTTGCCACCGACATGTATAAGTTCCGCGCGAGGCACTGCGCTGCGTAAAAATTGGGGATCTCCTGCACTCGCTATTAAAAATATAATGTTAAATATAATTCAACAAATATCTTTAGTATTGATTTTTCTAAACAGAAAGCTATATAATTAGTCAATATTATATAATCTGTTGTTGTGTGTTTGTGCGTGTAAAATCGTCGTCTTAACCCGTAGTAATACAAATAACAAATAATACCACTTAAAACATGATTCATATATTATCCATGTTAGATCGAACAAACTAGTAATCCCGACTGCAGAGCATTGGCAAAAGCTTTCGACCCCAGACCCCCAAAGTGCATTTCATACGTTTTAGGGTTAGGGTTAACGCGGCACTGGTCCCTGCCGACCTCCCTTAACCCCTCCCTGTATCCTTCTGCACTTTCTTGTTTTGCTTCTTTATCTTTTTGCCATGTAGGCTTCTCTGGCTCGTATTTCCCACCTCTTTCGCCCCGCCGCCAACCGCTGACAAACGTCAAAATATAATTTTTGCGTGGATTTGCGTTGGCCCAACAACAGCAACAGTAATAAATGTGAGGGGGCATGAAACCTACCTCCCACCAAAAAGAGTACAAAAAAATAAGAGTGAAACAATTTTTGCAACTGCTGCCTGCTGCTCCTTATCTCAGGCACGTTAATGTGGCCTATGTGGCTGTGTGGCTATGTGGGGAAAGGGTTGCCAGCATTGCATGTCCTACTGTGAGACATAATTTTTAATAATCTACAACACAGCCCGGCCACAAAAGGGGTGGTGAAAAGAGAGGGGGGCCGACGCCCAAAAATACGCGCATGCAAATGGCTTAATTTAATATATAATTATACCCTGACATCGCAGGAAGGCAGCCGTAGTAGATAGGGCTACATCAGTTAGGGTATGGCATTTCGATCATAAAGAATTCAAGTATTTTTATAGATTTTAATATGTGGTATTTCAACTGCCTCTTTCAGTATTTTTTTAGCGCCTTTCTCCGCGATTCTCAAATGTTCAATATAGCTAGTGCCCTTTTAGGCGATTCTCAAACTTCTGAAGTGTTTAAAAAAAAGTATTTAAGCAAATTTCCGCATACTTTCACCTAGGGCATTTATTCGTCTGCCAATATTAATTTCATGTCGCCCTCACTGGTAGTGATTTCCTAGGTTTCGGTTGAACACCGGGTGCTTGTTCATTTTTTATCTGACTCCGTAAGGTTGGCCAAACGGTGTTAAGACTAAGATGCCATATACTCGTGTGGAAGATTGTCTTGTCTAAGCTCCAGATTGATGCCGCCTTTGCCGCAAAACCCAATCCCAGAGCTGTAATTAAATTATCATGCCAACAGCATAACGCTGACTTAACCCCATCCATTGCATGTGTTTTTTGAAAAGTGTGGGCGGTGTTGTAATTCAAACAGGAGCCAACGGGTTAACATTAGCGCACTTTTATGGCCTTCGCTGGATAAGTATGTGTCCTTTAACCCCCGCCACTTGAGTATCTTTTTTCTATGATTAGCTGCGAAATTTATGCCAGCCGCAAAGGCATTCTGCGGCAACGAGTTGAAACAGCGAAACCTGCAGTGCCTTTTTAAAACAACTAAATAAAAAGCTAAATATACAAGTGGTCAATGAAATTATATGATTTGGATGGCGAATTATTTCAGTTAAAGATTAAAGTTAAGCTCTATATTGAAACCAAATAATATCGCCCAAATATAGAGAAGAGCGCAAGCTTCAGAAGACTTTAACTCAAATGCAAATCCAGAAAAGAGGAGAAAGAGTGCGGGAAATCGTTGCTAGCTTTTCCATCTTGGACAGCAGCTGTTGACCAAATGTGGACTTAGGACGTGCTTTTTATTTTTAGAAACTGCTCTTAAAACGCGATAAAACACGTTGAAATGGCAAATAGAGGACGAAGGAGGATGCACCACGAAAAAAATGAAGCGAAGGAGAGTAAAAGATGTAAATTAGTAGGAGAGTCGACGAAGGCGGGTTACATATGTACTTAACCAGTTACATGTGAGTATGCGATATATATTTTATTCATATAGAGCCACAAACACACACACTCGACCAAATCCCAAGTTGGGAAATAAAAAATATGCTTAAAAAATGAGGGGTGGTGGGCTGGGCTGCCAGAGCGGACAGTGCATCTGGAAAAAAATGTGTAAAGCGTGCATTTACATAATGAAAGATGTAGCCGTGCAAGTGTGTGTGATTTTTTCCTAGAGTATATGTGAGGCAAAAGGATTAGCGATGGTCGTCATGTGCGTGGCCCAGCCAAAAAAACAAAAAAAAAAAAAAAAGGAAAAAAATTAAATTATAAAATATTGAAGCGAGTAAGAAATGCGCAAAAGGGACAGAAAACCGAGAACCCAGCTTGCTCCTAAATGCACTGAAAAGTACTTGCGTTATTTCACATTTTAGTATTTATTTTGTGAAACTCTTGAAGTGAAAACACGGCAACATTGTGCGGTATTTGCAGTAATTATTGAAATGCTAAACTTCTTAGGTTTTTTGAAGGCACTCAGCTATACTCCATAAACAATATGTGTTTCATTGTAACAAGAAATCAAGAAGAACTGGGTAAGCTGATTTTTCCAACGTGCAACCAAAATTAATGTCCCTTTAGATACAAATGCAATTTATAAGCGCCGCTCGTATGTGCTTTCACATGGCTTCCATCGCCCACTCAGTCCACTGTATATATATGTAAATATATTATTTTTTTGTCAACATAATTTTGAATAGCATTAAAATTATTAGCTACAAATGAATAAAAAACGAGCGGGGCGCGGGCAAAATGAGGCTGCGGGGCAGCTGGAAAAAATTAGTGCGAAGGACTAGAAGTAAAGAAAAGAAACGGGCGTACCATCCTTATGTCAGGGGGTAAGCCCTCTGGAACCCCAATCCCAATCCCAATCCCAATCCCCACTCTATGCCGCCCAGCACAAATGCGCATAATGAGCTCTGGTCAGCCAGCCTAGACGGCCGTGGGAGGTTGCCATCGCAGAGATTTACGCGCGACAAGTTTTTCTTGCCCTTTTCCGCAGCGTAATTCCTTTTCATGCCCTATCATCTGTGCAGTTTGGGGTATGCCCTGCTAAGTACCATTTTGTATCGCAATAAATGGGAGCTCTTATGACTTTATCTTGTAACCGTACAATACTAGCCACTAACATTGCTACCAAATGCTGGCATTGAGTTGGAAACTTGTGCAACAGTCTCATGCAGATTTATTTTAGAGTATTAAACACATTGCCCAACGCGTCCTTATTTTAGGTAACATTTTTTGTAGCCTCGCAACATCCAGCTAAACACTTTTCAGTTGATATCGCAAATCCTTTTCGCTGGCGCTTACATAATGATATGTGGCCGCAGATGCCAAGTGAGGGAAAATCTGAGAAAAAAATACATGCAAAATATAAATGGTTAGGAAGTAGCGTCTGCTGCTTGCCTTTTTGCACTTGTTTTGCATTCGCATGCAATTTGCCATATAAATCCGCATTTTCGTTGTAGCGCCTCAGACATTAATTGAAAATATTTGGTTGTATTATTTAAAGTATATTTAAAAATCAGTTTTATACCGTTATATCATGCTTGCTGTATTGTGTAATATATCAGTTAAACGTAACTCTTAACTAGACAAAAAAATAATCGATTATATGGTAAATAGGGTGACCGTGAATAGTATGTAGCTCCACTTTTCAGAGTTTATGAATGGTGCATTTGATCCTCGACCAGCTTTTTGGGCCTACGCTTGCGACGCTTCCTTGCCTTTCGCCGTAGACGATCGAATTTCCGGATCCGGTCGCAAATGAAATGCTTGAGGTCATCGCCCTCGGCGGCCGATTGACGACTGCACGACATTGTGAATAATATTAGCGAGTTAAGGTAGAAAAAGAATCTTATATCGTAGTCATCCAGTGATGGTTTGCCCTTGGTTCGATGATTGTTATTATTATAATTGTTATCTTTCTGCCGGTCTTCCTTTTCCCATTCCTTTTGGTAATTACTAAAGTTGTGTTTGCGCAACTTGGAGGCGGGATACGTGTTGGGCGATGGATGGGGTTCAAAGGTCGAGCGCTGGCGCTTCGAACTGGCCAAGTGCTGCCGAAAATAGTCGTAAATGCTCATGTTCCTTATAACGATCGTGTTGGTGGCGGTGCTGTTGCTAATGTTCATTATCGGTCCCGATTTATGCGGCGCCACATGCTGTAGATTTAGCCAACTGCCGCCTGCCACAATCTTATTGCAATTGTTACTGGCCAGCAGCGTTGTCGTTTTTAATGTATTTAGCATTGGCTCATTGGTGTTATTGTTGCCGATGTTATGGCATCGGTCGTTGTTGTGTTGATGGTTCTGATAATCTTGATTGTAGTAAGGATTTTGTTGGGTTATTGTTGATTTGGTTGTATTGTAATCTACAGCAGTGACTGCAACCCGTCAATGATCGGCGACCAGCGGTCCCCAGAACATTTTCGATATCTTCGAGTCGTCCTCGGTTAAAAAGAACTGACGGCCCAAATGCACAAACTCCTTGAGCGACAATTGGCCATCGCCGTTCTTGTCTATCACAGCGAATGAAACGGCAGCATCGTCTTCGGTCAGTCCCAGACAGCGGAAGAA